AGGTGAATGTAAGGGCAGTGGCGACAGCGAGAGTTGAACGTCCATTTTCGCTATGTAGCTATGTCAGGCGTGCATTGATTGGAGTCCAAAGTACAGTGCTGGTAGATGTAAATGCGACGCGCGCGCATTTCGGTGGTGGGGGGGCGTGATAACCCGCGCTTAGTCAGCTCTAAACTGACGCCGGGGCGTCAGTGTATTGGGACCCGTGTGATAAACATCCCACATACGAGTATACTCCTCCATCAACAAACACCACATTTATCGTTCCACATAGCACGATTATTGGCTCTTTCATAACATAATATAAAAGTTTTAGTTAATTTGGGCTAAGATAAAAGAGGTAAGTCTCTGCCACTTTGCTTGTCCCCTAGGAGTGTGCCATTCATTACGAAGATCTCAAGAATACCATTAAACAATGTATACAATTTCTCCTCCAACGTCTTTAAACACGGCAAAGCTTTCCGTTTCCACTCGGAAGCCCATTCGTGGTCACCACCTCCCAATCCTCACTTCCCACAGCCGTTTGAGCAAAAAAGACATCCCTAGGATCCAACTTCTTCTTCAGGGATAGTAGACGAGGATACTTGTCACCCCAGAACGATTGTCCGAAATCTGGTTCCATGATATCACTCTCGTCCAGATACGAACCTGCACCAGGCGATGCATCTCGCCATCTTTGCATATGGCCATGTGTAAAGTTTTGACGAACAGCAGACTGGATCTCAGGACTATCTCTATCGACCCAGTTCACTGATTGCAAAACGTGCGAATAGGTGTTGCGCCAAGCGGGGTTGACTGAATTATCTGGATTTCCTCCATTTTTGAGAGATGGGTTGATGATAAATCCGATGATTGTAAGGGCTGATTGTGAAGAAGTCTTGATGGCGTTGTACATTTTGTCGAGGCTTGTGGCGTCGTTCCACATCTCGGTTGGCCAGAGTCGGGATCCTATTGCGACGTGTGTTTTTTGAACGATCTCGCGAGGAAAGGACGCCTTCCAGCCATCGTAGAAGTTGCTGTATTCTACTGTTTTTGGTGTAAAGGTAATGTTTAGCTCGTTAAGTTGAGCAAACCATGGAGCCAGGAGAGCATTTGTTTCGTTCAGAGACTTTCCTGACGCCCAGAAGGGTTCCATAAGGAACATTGGACCGGTTTCTGTATTGAGGATGAACCAGTATGCATATATCCCTTGTTTGGACAAAGACGGGAAATAATCCAAGTATTTTCGAAATCCAGCCCAGAAGTTCTCCGCTGTAATACCATTTACTCCGGCTGTGAAGTTAAAGGTTGATGCAGTGAACACTGGAAGGTCTTCATAGGCCTTGATCGTAACCGAAGTTACAACACCATAAGTGCTTCCTCCGCCTCCACGAAGGGCCCAGAAGAGATCAGTATTATGCTCGAAGTCAGCAGTGACAAAACGGTCATCTGCTGTAACAACTTTCATAGATAGAACCTGGTCTGCTCCCATTCCATGAAGCGAACTGAGAGGCGAGTGGCCTCCTCCAGCAATATAGCCTCCAGTGATACCGACAGTCTTACCCTCTCCACCAACAACTATCAATCCCTTGTCATGTGCAGCTTTATAAATCTCGAAACCTTGAACACCAGCACCTGCCTTGAAAGCAGGGCCATTGTAATTAGAGCCTCTTGCCTTATACTGCTTAAAGTACTTAATATCTTTAAGGTTATGAGTCCATATACTTAAGGCTCCGGCACCACCAGACTTTCCAGAGAAGTCGTGTCCGGTATTCTTAACCACCAGGCGGAGATTGGCTGCGCGTGCAAAATTGACGGCGAGCTGGATCTGGGCGACGAATTTGGCGTTCACTGCATAGTAAGGGAATGCTTCAAGCGTACAATTTTGTGTGGGATCAGCCGTCACTTGACAAGTCAGATCTTGGTTTACGGGGGACATCATTGATTTTGGATCAGCAGCGCTATAAAAGTCAGTGTGTTTCGGTTTTTGCAGCGAGAGAAAAATTACTGGATTTCTGAATTCTGCCAATCTGCAGTCAGATCAGCGCATTTTACAGCATCGAAATGTGGCCCGTTATAACATGGTGATGCCAAAGGAACAGTCTTGATGAGAGCCCCACCAAGAAGAACATCAAATAGTGTCCAGATAGTTGTATTCGGCCATAGACGATCTCCAAGGAAAACTCTACAAGACAATGTATTTCTCGCCGTCAAGTCGAGCGAAGCCCCCTCATCATTGAATCCGAATATGGCGAGAGTAGTTGCATTGAGTCCCGATAAGCTGTTATTCGTCAACTGCTCAGTCTCATAATCGAAAAAAGTTTCATTCGCGAGGACCGTAACATTTTCTGCTGCGACGGAAACATTAGATGGATTTGTTGCGATTACAACAGCCGAGCATAGACCTATTATCGAACCGACGACAACAACAATAGAAGATCTCATGACTGGTGAGGGTTTTGAAAAGGAATGAATGTCACCGCATCACAAAATCGTGGAAATACTCGTGGAAATAAACACAGTTCTTAATTAAAAGTGAGAGGACCATCTTGTTCTAGCCCATTTTCTCATGCAGAAGAGAACGTGGATAGCTTATCGGCTGAGTACAATCGTTCCGGGGATTTATCCCACCTTGGGTGATACGCGATGAACGCGGGGAGAAGGCAAAAATAGCCCCCATTATCCAACTTGCACTCTTGTGGCAATTTGTATCCAGGACTCTGCAATTTTGCTTTACAGTATCGCGTATTAGGAACCGAAAAGATCCGAGGTAGCTCTAGATTATATACGGCGAGCAAAAGCCGCTACCACGAGTTTAAATCCCGAGTGAAACAAATTCTCACTCAAGAACCTTACGAGTCTTACAGATGAAACCTACTTCAGAATTATTCCTCCAATCAATATTCTCTAAGAGAAAGACCAATCCAAGGTGTTGATCGAGCCCCATAAACCCCACTGTTTTCGGGGTTTAACCCCACTAAACACTCGACTCGGATGTGCTGAGCGAAGAACATCAGGGGTTCCACGAGCCAGCTAATCGACTCTGTACCCACAACCGAGGCGCATGAACAAAAAATGTCCGTATGTGGAGCTCGTGGAGCCTCAGTGTCAATTCCAAAAGGCGAAACGGAGCCTTTGCTCCAGAAATCCTCCATAGATCAAGGAAGCCTGGAAGCCAGAAAGTGATCTGTGGAGGATTTACATGATTTTCGCCATACTTCGAAGTATTTCTCATGTCTCTGGTTAAAGTTATGGAAACCCATGGTCAGTTCGCGATATCACGCAACTTGCCATCAATCTGACCCGGTAATATGGTTTAGAGCGCGACTACAGTGCAGCAGTGCTTCATGGAATAATATAAAGTTGAAACCCAATCAATGCAACGGCGAAGAATCTGCCATGCGAAAAACAATTACCGGCGTCGAGATTTGCATGTTCTGGGTCCTCAATCTCGGGCACTGGGGTAGATAACGGTCTAGTTTGGGGACGATGACCGATGCAAGGAGGCGACAAAGATAGGAACTAAATCTGAGAAGGCTCCTGGCTCTTTTACTAAAATTCGGAAACGTGAATTTTTGAAAGAGTGGTTCTGGAGAATAATGCTGCAGTGTTGTCCTTGAGAAAATGAGTTAAATTCTTTTGTTTATGTTGATCTGAATTGGCAATTGTAGCTGCTGTTCATGTGCATTTTTATAAATGAAGGGTTTTTTGTTGTGGATAGAAACTTAAGGTGGTGTCTTTCTCATTCCTTTGCAGGCATGGCTTGGATTTACGGGGGGAAATGTTAGGAAGTATTCTAAAACCTTTGGTTGTGACCAAAGAAGGAAGACAGCCGGGCACCTTAACGGGGCTTAACAACTGCTGCGCAAGGTAAATCTTACCTAGATTAATGAACACCTCCAATCAGCCATGTCGATGTAACCTAAGAGCGTAGTGATATGTTTGGTAACAATATATTTACCAAAATCTGGAGGGTGTTTGAAACTTACGTGCTGGAAAATGTGCTCTGCAAAGTTACAGCCCTTGTTGGTTTGGGCTTGAGACCAATCGAAGTAGGCACCATTCTCGACAATACAATAATGGTATAGAGCTTTTTCGGACTTGCTTGAGAATTTCAATCTGAGTACCGGACCAGGGTTGAAACTTAGTAGAAACTTAGTAGCACCGGGATATAGATGAATTCCCCGAAAGTTGTGGACAAGTTGCATGATCGACTTATCATATGGAGTAAGTTACTGGCCTTCTTTCTTTCTCTTCCTTCAACTGGGCCTAGAGAGGCGCTCCTTCGATGCTGGGATTTTGGTACCGAGTACTGGACGTGAAGTATAAATGCTGATAGCTTTCAGGCGATATTTTGATTGCCTGGGCCTATATTTTGGCGATAGGAAATACATACACAAGTATTCAGTGTTAGTGGCTTCCCGTTTATGCCCTCCATCTCGCAATGAAAAGAACCCTAACTTTCAAATCAGACACACTCATCAGCTGGCAAGGTTATCATGTTTATGATATTCGTAAGATGAGTACAGAGCAAAAGACAGTCATCATGAAGATGAGTCTCGCGAATCAGCTCTTATACAACCCAATTCTCACTTTGGTGAAAGCCTCGGTTATTTTGTTCCTACTGAGAATCGGTGGTACGAAGTCTTATGTCAAGAAATCTCTTTATGTCATCTTCTTCATCAATGCTGGTCTCGTCATTGCAATCTTCGTTGCAGACGCTTTTCAATGTACGCCTTTTCACTACGTCTACGACGCTTCATGCATGGACTTGGAAGCCCAGAGAGTAGCTGGTGCTGATAGTAACGGCATGGTTGACGGAAAGCTGATTAAGGGTGGGAAATGTTTTAATCAGAGACTATTCTTCCTCTTTTCGGCGGGTTTTGCAGTCGGAACTGATCTGGCAGTCATCGCCATTCCCACTTTGATAGTGTGGAATTTGAAGATGACGAAAAGAAGGAAGATTGCAGCAGTGTGTGTTCTTAGTACTGGAGTTCTGTAAGTTACAGCGTTGCATGGTCACCAACATCTACTGATCACTCATCCGCGCAGAGTAACTGGTGTATCCATTCTTCGGCTCGTTCTCTACTATGGGCGTTTCGATCCACGGAATCACGACACGACTCACAATGTTGACTACACCACCTCCTCAATGGAAGCGAACCTATCGATTGCAGCAGCCTGCATCACATCTCTCGTACCGCTCATGAAACGGTTTCTCCCCAGAATTCTTGGTTCCAATGATGCATCCAGCGCATACGAACCCTCGACGGAGGGGTTCCAAAAATCAGACCAAGGAGGCCAATTTCCTTTGAAAGCCGTGAGCGGAAAACTGGAAACTTGTAGGCGGGGCAAATCATACAAGTCACAAGGAGATAGCGTGTTGGATGGTTGGAATTCCGAAGAAGCTATCGTCGATAACGATATTTTGAAGACGATCAATGTGGACATAAGCTTCGATGCAAAATCTTCTCGTAAGCAGGCACAGAGATACAAGTATATGGATTCTTTTTGAAGGTTGGGAGTATGGTATCATATATATATAATATAGAGTATATTGGAAGTTTATCATTCCGAGACACAGGATTTGTAAGGAATTATGCTCGTATGCCTCGATGGTCTCCTTTTTTCCCTCAACAAACCAAGATCTAAAGTGTCATGACTAAATGCCAGTCTTCTTCTACCGAAACCACTCCCAAAATCTCCTCTCGTGAAATTCAACCTGCTCATCCATCCAGACCATCGCGTTGACCACCTTAACAGGCCCACCACACTTCGTGCATTGGGTCATCTTGAGAGGCGTTTTTTTGTCCACGCAGTACCTATGCTTGCTTGGTGGATGATTATCGTAACATCTGAGCTCAATGTGAACCTGTGATGGGCGTTTAGGACATTGGTACAGGTATTTGATTGGGCAGTGGCTTATTCGACAAAATAAACTATATTCTGGGGTAGAGCCGTGGATTGAGTATGGAGGTGGATCCGAAGATTCGCCGCATGCTGGTTGGGTTGTTACCATTGTAGCCTCAGATTCAGTAGAGGTGGTCATGGGGATTGAAGCACAACTTTGATTCTAAGTGGTTAGATGTACTGTAGATTTAAAGAAAACCCTTCACCTCTACTTAATATTTATACCAAGAGTATTCACAGATTAGTGTTGAGTTTTATGCACCTCAAAAGCAATTTACTGATTCACTGTATTTACCAGTCAAGAGCAGAGAATGAGTGAATAACTCCAGCCATGGTTAGAGGCACAGTCTAAAATAACGGTTTAAAATGTCATGCAAACAGCCTAACTTGGCCTGTTTGTGAGAAGATACAGATTTGAGAGCCTCAGCCTTTCTTACAGAATTTCAATTGAAGTATTGTGAATACCTTTGTTTACTTCATTCAACTTTGCAGCAGGAAGATGGTCAGGTGACTTCGCCTGATTGGTACTGAAATCACTTAACCATACGCCATTGACTATTTAGTAGTGTTTAATCACATACTAAAAGCCATTTCTCGTAATACTATTCGAAAATTGCGTATCGCACGAAACCTTCGACAGCGGATGGATTCCAGAAGGACATTTATCTTCGTCTCTTGTTGGGAGATGTATTGGACTCATACTGTACGAAGAACAGTCACAGATCTGCAAACACACAGGTACAATCACAAACACAGATGAATAAAAATGGGAGAATCAGAGTCCTTTCCACCACCCTGCTATTCGAACCCTACACCAGATGGCAATCCCGAAGATCCACCTCCTTACGATCACCGTCATAAAGATATCACACTCCTACCAACACCACGACAATTAGACAGGATATATAATCCTCCATGCTATATATTACCACAGAATAACTGTTGGGTTGTCAATCATTTGAGCTGGCACGAAACTCCCGTCACACGGACCCAGCATGTCCAATTTTGGTCGGGCGGGCAAGAGTTTTATTGTGCAACGAAATACCGGAAAGGAAGACGAAGCCGCATGAGTTTTATTCGCTCGTTAAAAAAGGAAGTAATGGAGTGTCGAGAATGTAGGGGGATGTTGCTCGAAATAAGTTGCGACCTTTGCAATGATGGTTTTGCTTGAGGTGGGACATTCCACGTACATATTGGAGTTGGGAGGACGTCTTTGGGATCTTTTAGGAATGGAAGTTTAAGCTTGAATCTAAAGCTCGGACTAGAAGAAAAGGTGTCAGGATGGATAATCCAAGTTATTGCTGCGACGATGGCTGGAGCAGGCGGGCGGACTTGAAAGAGCCACATTGGCCATCAATGGGTTAATGGGGCGTACAACATTACGATGAAAACAACTTGTATGGCGCCATGATATATTGCTGAGACTGGGTTTCGCTACCCACAACTCAGAATACGCATGATCCAGAAACTGCCCAGGTGTGGTGGGATTTAAGTGGGAGTCTGATGATTTAAGTACGAGATCTATCCACGGCGTGAGAAGCAATTGTTCGCGAGGTATTCAAGTTATTCAGAATGGCAGAGTTGTCTTAAAAATCACATCTCAAGAGATAAGTAACCTCCCAGAATCCATATATCACAAAGCTTTATGTAACGAATACTCAAACTGGCTAACTAAACTTGGCTGGGTGTTCGCTGGTTGGTATGCTATGATAAGAAGAAGACTATCGGGTTGTTCACTTGGAAGTGAACTCGTTACTTGTATCAAAGATGTCAAACTAATATGATAAGATTGATAACTAAGTTGAGCACGAAGCTCCTATCTAATGGCAGACGTGCCAGTCTTATATAGAACCTTCGTTCTCCAAATGTCGTTCTACTCGATCGACGTGCTGCGACAGCTCGCTTGTGCGCGCTGTCGGGCTTTCATCACGTGACTATGAATGCTATGAAATCCTTGGATACTCAACAACCCTGAGTAACCACTGCTATGGTATAACTACTCTGGTTGTATCTGTCCTGTCAGAACGCCGTCTGGACTAACTCGTCGCATGCTAACACGTGATTCGTGACAAATCTCCCCTCTAAACCTCTCCCCGCTACTCCTATCCTACGGATTCTCCGTTCCTATCCGTATAAATTAGAGCGCTCTCCTTCCTACTCTAATCCTAACTAATTAGTACTCCTTATCCTCGCTAGGGTACTAGATAGGAGAGGGCGGGAGTACTCCTAAGGCTAGGTGTTATAGGTTTTAGTAGGTCTAAAATAGGTCTAAAATATAGTAGTAAAACAGGTGGAACCTAGCATAAATACCGTTCCTTAATCTATAGTAAGGGGGTACCCCAGTATAAATATCTTAATAAAGTATACTTTTAACGAACCTAGCTAGCGTACTTTAATAAACCTAGTATACTTTAACGAGCCTAGCGAACTTACGAACCTAGCGAACTAGCGCGTACTCTAACGAGCCTAGCTAGCGTACTTTAACGAACCTAGCGTACTTATAAACAGCCTTATTTTTCTACCTTATTTTAGCCTCTCCTTCCTACCCCTCTCCCGACTCCTACCTCTCCTTATCTACTCCTTTCTAGATAAGTAGCCTATTCTCCTCTCCTTCTCCTAGCTAAAGATATAGATCTCCTACTCCTTTCCTAGTAGTTAGGATAGGAGAGAAGGGGAGATTCTAAACACTACCGCTAGGCTATTAGTTTAGTAGTCCTTGTAAAGCGATCTATAAGTAATTATATAGCCTAGTAAAAAGGTATATTTAAAGAACGGATACTACTATTATAGTTCAAAAGTACTAGTCCTTTTAGTAGATAGGGTACTACTAATAAAAGGGCTTAATTATTATTATATAGCCCGACTATTATATAAATATCTATAAAAATCTAGAGTTATTCTCGGAAGTTATCCTCTAGTTCCTCGAATTTTATAGATTCCTTTATTATCTTACTAACGTTAACTAGTTCTCGGCTATATCTATCAGGTAGTCTCGGCTATAGAATAGCTAGTAGGTCGCTAGTAAGGTAAGTACTCTTTATACTAGAAGTAGATACGCTATAGGTAGTTAGGGCTATTATAGTTAAAGGTCCGGGTCTAGGTTAAATTATATACGAGTAGCTAGTATTTAGTAGTAGATTTACTACTATAGCTATAGTAGGTAGTCCTATTGGAGCTAATTAGAGTATACTTAGAATATTAGGTTTAGCTTTATTATCCTATAATTCTAGATAATTATTAAAGTTTTTTATTAGGGTAAAAGGCTAGGAGACTTTAAACCTATTACTCTTATAGAGTATTAAACTAGATTATTATATATCTATATATAACTTATAGATAGTATTAATTAAGGGCCTCCTATATAGTATTATAGTAGGTTATTTATATTTTTAAATTAGCCTTTAATAAATAAACACCTTAATTAGAAAGGATATTATATATAAAGGTTACCTAGGTTCTTTTATATTCTATAAGGTAGTATTCAGTCTATCCTATAAAGTTATCCTAGAAGGTAGCCTAGAGTTTATTATTATATAATCCTAATATATTACTATTATAATAGACTATACGTTACTATACATATTCCTTATAGTAATTCCTTTCTTATTATTATATTTTAGGAGAGTTAACCCTAGAGGTCCTTAGTTATTATTATAAAGGAGTATTGATAATTAATAGTATTACTAAAGTTATTAGAAGTAATAGAGTTCCTAGTAGAAAGGCTCCTAGTGTTCCTAGAGCTTCGTGTGACCGTGTGGAGTGAACCACTGCTTGCTGTGATGAATACTGAGTCAAACCGGAAACTGCTATATTGAACGAACAACTAAGTGAGAGAAGAAGAGAGTTCCAGAGGAACGAGAGCCTAAATACAGGAGTCCAGTAGCACGCACGGGCCATGCTACACGTGATCCGCCCCCAGTTCCTCCAACTCCGTAACATTCCGCGTCTACTATTTAGTATAGTTATAAATCAATTCCGGCTCCTGTTCTAGTATTTACTATACTAATAGTATAAGGTACTATAGCTAAGGTACCCTGTTCGATTACTATAAGAATATAACGGTAGATATAGCTCTGCCTTATTATAGACTATATAGCCATACTACTTGTCTAAGTAACTATTATAGGAGTACAATTTAAAGATACTACTCTAAATATATAAAATACTAAGAATTATATAATTTAGATTTATTATTAAGGTTATACTTTAGTCCTATATCGCTCGCTTAGTAATATTATTATTATATATACTAAAGGTATATCCTTAAACCTTTATAGTAGTAGGCTTTAATAGGTAATAATTATATACTTATAGGAGTCCGAGAATCGAGTACGAGTCCGATCGATATTCGAGTATAATTATTATACTTTAAAGGACTCGAATAGCTTAATTAAGAGGTCGAGTATTAAAGACGATAATATAAAAGATTATTATATACTACCTAAACTTACGGTAGTCATCTCTCTAATCTATACACGCTTACTAATTAGTATTAGTATAAGAGATACTTATATATAAGGGTTAAAACAGTAGTAACAAAGGTATATAAAAGTTAGTATAATAGTTAATTAATTAATATTATAGAAAGGACAAGTACTAGCTATAAGTACTCGTATATACTAAGCTTTCCGATATCCACGTAATAAAAGTAGTAGATATATCGCAACATAAATCAAAGTTTCTGTATAGTCTTGGTCATGAAAATTTTATGTAACCATTAAATATACGAATTTCATGTGTATTAGTGCGTCTTCTTTCGCGAATATTTGACAACGAAACTTTTTCGAAGAGGTAATAAATAAGCAAGGAAATGCGAAGTCAGTCATAGAGGAGCCAATTATGAGGAATAGTTACTTATGTTAGAAGACCAAAAGAAAGACGGGATGAAAACAGAAGCAATTCATGTCTGTACGAGATATATATGTGTATTGGGGGAAATTTGTTGTATTTTGGGGGTAGTTTCATAACCTGAGCCTGCAGGGTTACACTGCTTAGAAAGGACTTTGAATGTCAAGAACTAAAGGAGAGACGAAAAACCAAAGAAAATGGGAGACGAAGAACCAAAAAGGAGAGACGAATCAACCTACTTACGTGCGGCAAGCTGCTAGGAAGGAAGGGTTATTAGCTACCACATCCCAGCCTCCAGCTTCCTTAATTCTTCGGGCCTCTTTCTCCACAGCTTTAGAAAATTCTTCGCGAGGAAGGTTTTCGAAACATTTCCAGTAGTGGTCGAATTGGGCTTTCGGAGTTACCTAAGGTTCTTTCTTTGGCTCCCAAGGCTTATCAAAAGTTCCAGGGCCTTCTGTAGCACTCTTGGTCCAATGCGCTTGCTTTGAAGTTGAAGACCTACTAGCAGAACTTTGACTACGATGCGGAGGCTTTGGTGCGGCTCCGGGAGTGATAGTAAAGTTTCGTGTTGGTTGCTTCGAAGAACTGGCTCTGGAACTCCGAGAACGATGCGTGGGCTTGGGGAGCTTCCGGGAGTGACAGTATACTTCTTCGATTCAGCTTGCTGTACTGTGCCTTTGGCAGTGATAGTATATCTGCTAGTGATGGTAGAAGTACGGCCACTGCTACTTCGTGGAGCAGCGCTAGACGAAAAGCCATGAGTGTGAGCCTGCGTAGATGGGGCTCCATTCTTTGGAGGTTGAAAATACATATATTTCTCTCCGGCTTTGACCACGGTTCTTGACCCCCCAGCATGCTCAATTGATTCATTAGCTTTAAGCAAAATGACATTGAACTTGTCTCTTTGCTCGTAATCCTGTCTTATGAGAAATGCTGCACCTTCTGGTGGCGAAGGAATTGCTTTCTGAATCGTGTCACGTCCCCCATCGGCACATTCGAGTATGTGTTTGGGCACATCTTCGAGTACATACATAGGGTTGATATCCTGGGCATTTACAATCCTTCTACCATCTATGATTTCAGGGACCTTGGTAAGTCTTGAAGTATTCATTCTGAGAACTGTAAAGAATCTTTCTGTTCAGATTGGGTTTCTATGTCAAAGGTTACTTGCTATAGAATTGGAGATGTGAGTGTGTGAGTATGTGTGAGAGTGATAGAGCATGAGTTTAGGGAGATTTTAGCTGCTCTCATAAACCGCAAGCAGTTCTGTTCTCAGATTCCACAAACCACCAAACAAAGAAATAAACGCCCGCTAATATTATAATCGCGATGAACAGAGACTTTACACACTGTTCAAGAAGAACAGTTTATTACAGCAAGTGACTAACCTGTCTGTTTCAATAACCATGGAAATTATCATTAGTACTATTCATAATCACCTAAAAGACAGCACTGCCATCCAACATACTTACGAGACAAAAACGTGGTTTGTGTTTTCTCTAATGTCCAAGAGAAGGTATTGACTCATACGAGAAAATGTATTGTATCAAACTTAGCCCGCTCATAAACTGAGACAATGTAAACTCAGACTTCATGTATCTCTGATAGACGTTCGTATCGTGTTGAGATCTGGTTATTTGCTACAAAATGCTAGTATCTCTATCTATCCTTTTGGCGGTAGCTTCTTTGTGCAGTAACTCTCTGCTCGCTTATTTCAACTGGTCTGAGCTTATGGCTTCTCCTTTGTTGTAACCATTCTGCCGGAAGCATTGGCTCCCAATAAAGAGAATTCGCAATCATACGTTTGTACTTCTTAAAGTACAATGACCTTCTTGTCCTGGATCAGTTCAATTGTCGAGATTTTTCTCTTCGATGAAAATTACAGCACTCGGCCAGGTTTGTGATCATTGCCCACTTTCACTCGCTTAATGGTCTTCGTTTATCGAGCCTTTATTACCTTGGGGTTTTCAATTTTACTCCAATACGACAATATTATAAAAACCAATCTCCAAGCTTTCTTCTTGAGAAGTCGTTTTTCACCCACTTCCAAAAAACCACGAGCGTTCAATCGAAGAAACAACAATGGCAGACCGACGCGGGAAAAGAAGGAGGTCCAGATTATCGGATGACGATCAAGCCCCTCCGCCCAGACAAAACAAACGACGACGCGAAGGATATGCAATTCCACCTCAACCCAAGTCTCCGCCCTATCCTAGAGATGTATCACCTGATCCAAAACCAAAGAGGAAGCAGGACTTTCGGAGGAGGGGGATAGTTGCTGGTTTATTGGATCGTATTCCTAATAGGAAGCGGACTGACAGATCAGCTACTTGGCCACTGTTAGAAGATAGTTGGGGCTTGTTACCATTACCCGAGAATATTGCGAATCCACAAAGGAGGACGATGGTTGCTTGGGAGCCCTATGACCCGTACAGTGACCGAGTCAGGAAGTTGAAGCCCAAACTGTATGTAGGTTTGCCTCCTCCACCGTCAGAGGAGTCGGTGGAGCCAGAGGGGTCAGAGGAGGAGCACGGTGGATCGCCGTTGGCGGGGGGGTTAGGGAGAGGATTTAATAGACTACGAAGACTCAGAGTTGTGGGAAACGGAAGAGCTCGAAGAAGGAGACATCTTAGGGACGGGAGTAGGGTTTGAAGGCGAACTTTTAGCGGAAATTTCCCCAGTCCCGCTGAAAATGGGGACAAGGGATAGTGAAATGGTCATTCAGTTGATGAAACATGGGATAATGGAGAAAAAGTACGAAATGACCATACGAGACATGAGAAAATGGCTTGATAGTGAGAGAGAGTGGACCGTGGGGGTTGGATCAAGACAAAACATGTGGAGGGGCTCAAGAATGCTTGGAAGAGGTGGGTTTGGCCTTGTGGGACTTTGGGAAAGGGATCCGTTAGAAGAGGGAGAAGAAGACGCGAATGAGTCTGTGGGTTTACCGAAAGGGCTCACGAAAGTTGCCGTAAAACAGCAGATGAGAAGATACGACGATCTCCGGGAAGAGGGCGACCTACAGAAGAAGCTAGTTGAGACAGGAACAAAACATATTGTTAGAATTTTCCCGAAGAATGATGAATCGACGGTGGAGGTTATAGGGGAGGGCAAAATTAAATTTGCGGATCCGATGGGGAGAAAGATCGGGAGGGCATTTTTGGAATTCTGTGAGGGGGGAGAGTTGTTGGATTTAGTTGGCAAGATCTCAGAGTACTGTTTTTCCTCTCTGCTGCTGCCCATGACTGGAGCTGACCATTCGTAGGGCAACATCCAGCAATCGACCACTCGAGGAGAAATATTGTTGGTATGTTGTATCACGCATCTGATCTTTCTAGGTTAACTCTGGTTCAGGCGACTTCTTGAATGTTTGGCAGGCTCAACAGCCATGATGGAGCATGGGAACGAAAATCTGAAAGGAACATCGTGGTCTACAGCGGATCCCACCGAATCTTTAGTTCATTTTGATATCAAACCTATCAATCAAACCTATCAACAGTAAGTGTTGCTTGATGGGAAGAGTCTAGCTGTGATGAAACAATTTTGATCAATTTTGGATGTAGTCTTGGTGGCTGAAAAAGACGAGAAGCATCAAAAAACTCTTATACTCAAGGTCAGTGGATAATGAGTCATATTCCTAGCCCGATATGAGAGTTTGGAAGCAAGAGGTTGAAATGGGACTAACGCGTTTGATGTCTTCATCTAGTTGGCAGATTTTGGACTTTCAGAGCCTCCATCGGGCCAAACTTTTACGACCAAAAGTAAAGGAACGCCAGGATGGTTAGGGCCCGTAGGTCTTACGCTCATCAAAAGTGAAAAGGGAGCTTTTTGACTAACCCGATGACTTGTGTTACAGGAGCAATGCGGTCAAATGACACCAGGTGAAAGCCGAGAATATGGCCCATCGATGAATATTTGTCAGTGGAACCCCTTCTGGCCCCAAATCTTGCATTTATTTCAGGGCAATGAGAAATATTATACTAATGCTGTAGAATAGGTGTATGGGAAAGGCCATGCATTTTATCATGAACAAGGAAAAGATGTTGCCTAATGTGGACGGCACCGTTGCGGGAAAATGGTTATTTTTTCAACCAGACATAACATCGCCAGAGATGTTCAGAACAACTGGTCACGGCATTCTCGGGATGCCATATAGCGTCAGATTGCTTTCCACGGTTCTAAGAATGCTAGCAATAGAACCCCAATACCGAATTGAGTCCCGGGAGCTCTTGTCAATTTGCAGGGAATCTATCCGCTTGTGCAACCAAGCGGTGGCTGCAACTACAACGATGGAAGGAAAACCGCTTTATGATGCTCAAGCAAACCTTTTCACGATAAATCGCGATCAGCCACGACATACGACTATGGAAGAGATCGAAAAGGTTGAAAAGTGTGCAAAGAACAAGCTAAAAATGGTTGAGAATGAGCCTCCACGTACAGTACGTACTACTGCTACCAATTCGAACGATGAGGAGTCCGCTAGAATACGGGGTCTAGCAGCGATGAACCTAGGCTCTGGTTCAAAAGAAAAGGTACCACGGAGTGGTGAATTAATAGACGTTCTTTTTGAGGCACCCGAGCCGGACCCAATGTCCTCTGTTATTTACAATGATGTAGCCAAAGCCGAGTCATCAATTGATTATTCCGAAATACCTGATTTTAGGGACGTATAGCGCTGACTGAGACCATGGCTGCTTTGTACAGCAGTTGGTTTAGAACAGGCAAGAAAGGGAACAGGTTTTTTCTATATATTAATTCTTTTTTAGACAAATACACCTAGTATTTCCAATCAAAAGGCTCAATTTCGTAATGGCTTTGCCCTAGTTATGCCGAGTAAGGAGAAAATTTATAATGTGTCAACTTGTTTATCTGTATTCGTTGGATATCAATTTGTTTATTACGCTAAACGAGACCTGTGTTAGCTGAGTATTAGTAAATAGCAGGATTTATAGTAAATGAGGATAAAGGCTTAGTAAGCTACTTATATAGATAGTAGGATATATATCCTACCTGTGACAGTTTTTGATTTAGTGAATAAGGGTTCGCTTAGCGAAGTTGCGGGTGTACCCTTCCGTAGATAGACAAATACCTAAGGAGTGCGAAGAGCGTCTCTCTTCCCTCCTTGCGAACAATCTATTCCTTGATCCCCACCATAACACTACCCTACTACTGCTATATACCTTTAACACTACTACTATAATATCTACTATATCGTTAGCTATACTTTTGTAAGCTCTTTTATTCTATTTATATTCCCCTCGCTAGAAGGCTCGCCTTGCGCCCTACGATTTAGGAGGGTTTTAGACACTATACTTCGTGTTTCGCTAGATAGAGCCTTTTAATTAGTCTATAATACGGTCGAAGTCCGACTACTTAGCGTTTAGTTAGTCAAACTGCCCCCGCAAGGGGTGCGTGGCCGAGGGTACTTGCTTATACTTCGCTTTCCACTTGTATATGTAGGCGAATTATAAGCACTTGAAGCTAGCCAGCAATACAAAAGAAAACCAACAATAAGCCTCATTTTGATGTGACGTGTACCGACTGACGATTGAACATAAATGTATATTGAATAATTGAAATGCGGGTATTGACTCACGTAAAGCACCCGTACAAGCAAATGCTGGATTATAAGTAAACACAATTCTACTCGATACACTCTCCCCGTCAGATATCAACAGGAATTCATCATTTGTCAGAAAGTTTTCAAGGAATTACGCGATTCTTATTTTCTGTATTTATGGAGATATTTAGTGAAAGGGGGGAGGGGTTGCGTTATTTTACGAACGAAGGGCAGGTCAGTTTAATGGGCTGTAGAGAGCTTTACGAAAAGAATCTACTAGCCTTTGGTTAGGTTAGTTGAATCTTCTATTCTCTCTTCTCTCCGTGTAGCCAGGATTGGTGTTTCTGCCTTGTCGGGTTGGCCCAAAGTGCTCTTCAGTTCCATCCGGTTCCTCTACAGAGTACCCTGGGCTGTCTGAACTCGTTGATTGTCCGTAAGTGGTGCCCTGCGTTCTGCTGCCATAGCCTGCAGTCTTGCTGGAGCTTCGGGTGGCACTTTGTCTACTTGAATAACCTCCCGTTCGTTGGGATCCCGAAAAGGGAGTTCCAGCAGAAGCTGTACGGGTGGGTCTATAACTGCGCTGAGATTGCCCGGAAAGCTGGCTGCGTGATGTTGGCCCTCTTCTAGAAGTCCCTCTGGAGGCGTAGAAGTCGTCTTCAAATAAGTAGTCTGGGAAAGGGAGGCCTTCGTCGTTTGGCCGGGGGGTTCTCGTGGTTCCAGAGTCTGACCCGTCTTCAAATAAGTAACTAGGAAAGTCTTCTTGGGAATTAGAGGTTGTTCTTGAACTACTGCGAGATGGACCAGAAGTATCGTAGGAGGTTCCATAAGTACTACGCTGGGAACTTCCAGGATATCCACGAGTATTGTTCCGAGTAGTACCACTGCTACCATATGTGCTACCGTATGTGCTACCGTATGTTCCGGTAGAAGTATTTGATCTGCGGAGTGGTCTTCCTGAAAAGGGGTTTTCAGAACTTGAAAAGGGGTTCCCAGAACCTGAGGTTCGACCTGATCTATTGTTGTAAGACATCTTGCGGTTTGAAGTTTATGTGGCTTTCGTGTGTTGTTATGTTATAGATGTTGTGAAAGTAGCAAGGTGTGAGTTGATGATGAAGTGTTTCAATGGCGATAGATATCTAAGAACTTATAGGTAGCATTTGGATTTGTTTTAATACCGCAAAATACTATTAGTCTTGCTGATGCCTTGTTTAATTTGCTGTTCCAGCAATCAAAACACTGTTGTGTTGACAAAGGCGCGCTAACAATGGATTATGTAGCTTTTGTTCACTTACAACTATGGCCTTGTGTGGGCCTAAGTCGTCGAATGTGAAAAGATTGACAAAGCAGTTTTATTCAAGCCAAGATCGAATAGCCATGGCTAGCGTGACTCGCGATAGCTTCCGCTATTCTCGTATGTTAAAATCGTAGTGGAAATGGAGCGAACCTTTACCATTTTCGTTGAAAATAAATCTGATACAAAATGATGTCAAACGTCATATGGACTCATCAGCAGTTTGAACAAGAGATTGCGTAGACTTGGTATCATCCTGAATTAAAATAATCTTCAACCTGTTCCTCCAAAAACTGCTGTCTCAGCGACGGAAGGAAGGAAAATAAACTACTAAGAAACTTCAAAATTGCGCCCAGAATGGCGTGCATAAATAATAGAGAAGATTTCTGTGGGAGCAAATATCTCAATGGAAAGTGGCAGTAATTTAAAACGTAGATATGCGAACTTAGAATATCTAAGTGAGGCGCAGGTAGTCTGAGACGTCATGCGAAGCTCGAGAAAGTATGATTACGGGCTCCAAAAATATCCGGGCCAGTGTCACCTTCGTGATCTTTCTCGTAACTTTTCGCCATGCTTAACCACATTATCTGTACCACTCTTATCTATCTCACACGAACACTCAAGAGTGAAAATGAGAGCCAAGGAACTTTTATGCAAGAATTGCGATACCGTCGTATTCTTTGGCAAAGACTGTGACAAATGGAACAGTGATGCACCATCACAAGCCAACAATGAGATGCAATGATTCATTGCATTTTGTACCTTCCCCTCAGAGGAGTTCAACATCTCGAAGTTTAAAATAGCCGCACCAATCAATTATCATACTACCAAAAAATCCACAAATCCCATCACAAATTGCCTAATCCGGCCTGTTTTCCGATGTTTACCCCATACTCTCCGCATCCCGGCGACCAATCCACAAATCGGCTCAAGGTATACTCTGGGGTTTGATAGTCACGCTACATACCCAATGGTTCAACTCAGGCGCAAGAAGATGGTCCGCGAATACGACTGCGGTTGAAGCAAGCTTGCCACGACTCACACGAGATCCAACAAGGAGAACCTCGGTGTGGGTGTTACGGAAATGACCGGGAACAGCGTGGGAAGATGGAGTGAAGCTTGCCCGGGCGATCTTGTCTTGGTAAAAAGAGAGGAGTCTGGGGAAGTTGCTAAAACTAGGAAATTTCCCATATATGTTTGATGTCTCTCTTTTCTTTGCTTCTCTACCTCTCTTGGGTGTCTTGCAAAAATGAGGTTCTCTCGGCTTCTTTCCGCCCTCGTGGCTGCAAGTGTTGCTGTTTCCCTACCAACAGAACCCAGCCCTCGCTCATCCCTCCTCCAAAAAGTAGATCCAAGTCTAGTTGGATATCTTGGAGTGTTTTTTCTTGGAGACGAACCAAATCTCTACTTTTACTTGAGTAATGGTAATGATGCACTTTCCTTCAAGCCTTTGAATGGTGGAAAAGCGATTGCCAAGCCGACTTTGGGAACTGGAGGAGTGAGAGACCCAAGCATCGTTAATGGAGCTGGAGATGAGGCAGGAAAGAAGTGGTATATTGTTGGGACTGATTTGGATATTGCAAAGGTATGTCGAATGCACGAGAATAAATCTACGATCTCTAGACATAATTTGAAACACGATTCTAATTTGCAGCTACTGTAGACTACTTGGGATGCATCTCAAAGAACGGGATCACTATGCATTTACGTTTGGGAAAGTACCGATTTGATCAACTGGGGTAAGGAGACACTTGTAAAGGTCGAAAATGACGATGCTGGAATGGTTTGGGCCCCTGATGCCATCTGGGATCCCGAGAAACAAATGTACTTGGTGCATTGGTCCTCGAAATTTGTGAATTCCTCCATGGCCTGTAGTTTATTTCCGCACTAACAATGTTTAACAGTACTCGAGCTCAGACACCGACCACAGTGGTGCACCAGGACCAAGTATGATCCGCTACGCCTACACCTCAGACTTCAAAAACTTCACCAAGCCAAAGACCCTCGTCAACCCTTCCACCTCAATCATTGATCTCGCATTGCTCCACTTGGGCGAAAGTTCCTTTGCTCGCTTCATCAAAAACGAAACAGCAACCAATGTCTACATGGAACTTTCAGACGACGGCCTGTTCGGTACATGGACTCGTACCGGAGGTTCAGGTAGCATCGTCCAAAGTGGTGTTGAGGGACCATACGCATACGCGGATAATCAAGTACCCGGAAAAGCGATTTTACTATTGGACTATTACGGTAGTGACGGGTATAGACCTTTCACGAACACGGATTTGAACGCAAATACCTGGGAAGGTGCCAATAGGGCTGAGTTTCCGAAGAATTTAAGACATGGGAGCGTGATTGGGATTACGGCAGATAGATGGTCTGCTTTGGATTCCAAGTGGGGGGATGGTCAGTTCAAATTATGAACGTGTGATGAATTTCAATTTTAAGATACCATTTAGTTTAGCGACATGCGTATTACTGTATATAGAAAACAAGAACATTTCGGAGAGTCTCTTGTCGAAGATCTAATAAAGGTTCTACCCGAAGCTTGAGAGTTCCACACGAGAATGCGGAATGGAGACCATACTCCTCTAGTTTGAACCTTACTTTATTAAAGTAATTTACTTCGAAGTAATACACCGCATGGCCTTGAAAATCAAGCCATGTTTACCCATCAAGGGTTTGACATCTTATGGAACACAATGAAATCTGGTACAAAATACAGAATGATGCAGAACTGCTAAAGTAGTCAAAATCGAAGACTTCTATCACAAGACATAAAGAGGACTCGAACCCAACAACGCCTTGGTGTCCCCGTCCAGACACTACTGTGATACGAAGAACCCTTCACACCAACCCAGCCACCCCCACTTCTCAACCCAAACTCCATGAAAAAAAAAAGGAATTCCAGAACCGAGCTAGAAGAACACCTAAATCGGCCACTAGTGTAGCAGAATTAGGGTTGCTACCGCAGAACAAGGGGTTCTCGGGACAGAAAGTACTCGCTTAACTCAAAGCTGCCGATCATATGTACCGTACCGTCATATTTCGCTGACATTCTTGCCGCGCTGATCCTGGTATGCTCAAGGACTGGTAGAGTACCAACAAGGAGTGAGATCCCGATGCAAGTTTGTGACAGTTTGTGGACGCCAACTTGTGGATGTTTATCTCAGTTATGTCTAACGGGATGTGAGTAGGGTATTAGAAAAGGGGCCACTAGTTTTCAGAGATTCAGGGGGGTTATATGTTTAATGGTCACAGTGGATATGATGTGGTGCTTTCATCTGCGATGCGACGTCCAATTCGCGTATACTTTACGGAGACCTAAACGAGACTTTCATTTTTATTTTCTTCTTTATTTTCATCTTTACATTCAAATGACCTCAGCGTAGATTACCCTTCTAATTCCCTTGAGAGGAGGGAATTCCCAATTATCCTGTGTATTTAGTGAAGAGGGTAGACAGTTCAAGCTACCGCCGCCAGTCACTTAAATAATACAGCATGTGGAAAAAGTCTCCAAAACCCAGACCCGAGTCTCTATTTCGCTAGTTTCTCTAAAATCCAAGGCTGAGGCGCAATGTTACTATGTAGGGAATGACTCTTTGATTCCGAACTATCTACCGTCTTTATTATGAGAGATGGATTCTAGTATATCGGCTTCATATAGGGATGGAAGGGTTGTCGGCGAATTACTAAATTTATAAATGATGAGAACCCAAAAAAAGACTAGAACAAGCTTACTGAAATCACCTAACGGTATTCGATAAGCAACAAGAAAGCGGAAAGCAAAAAAGATTAATAGACTGGGTGATAGAATGGTGGTACGAGAGAGGGGTAAAGCAAGAACGAGTTTCAACATACGATGAGAGAACAGCTAGATAGCAAGCAGGAACGAATGGTTTTATTCCGACCTTGATCTTTCTATGGGCATGTGATGAAGTTGTGGAATTAGCGTATATAATTTACCCTTGAGATATAAATAGTCCTGCACTGGCCATCTGATACGTATATTTCCAACATACGCTAACACGATACTTCGGATGGACTACTGGAATAGGCGACTTTATGCGTACCTTATCCCTACCTAACATCTCCCTTATCAAAGATCTTTTAACACAATAGTCAGCGTAAGGCAAATAGAACCCGATTCCATGGAAATTCCAAATTCTATTCTATCGTAGAATATTCTAGAGGTTCTTTGAGATAGAATAGAATATTCTAGAGAAATATATATTCTAATCTCTAACTAATAATAAAGCTGAAATTAAAGTGAGACAAGAGACTTAAGTATTAGGAAGTAATTAGTAAATCTATTAGTAAGTTTCATAGTTCTTCTCTATAGCAGTCAATCATATGTCCTAGCTAGCCTAACACGCTCGTTACATATTAGCGTAGCCGCGTATGGACACTTTTTAGCAGATTAGAGAGGGATATTAAAGCATAATCACTGTCTTAAGCTTGCTATTACTTGAAGGGATTGGAACAACAATTTACAAGTCATGTAACAAATTTCAGAGTAGAATTCCATATTCCATAGTCTGGAATTGGAATATTCCTTCCGGACCTTTATAACATGGAATGGAATGGAATTCCAGTTGCCTAACGCTGACAATAGTTATTATTGTTGTAGAATTGAGGCAGTCTTTGTCGTTTTGTCAACACCCCTACCCCCCTATGTTCCCGTTCTAAGTTAATTATGTTCACTATGGCAGCTGAACGGATATGAAGCTGAAATAATTACCATTATCTATTCGCGTGTTATGGTTATGTACCTTGGTACTTTCTCCGCCAACAGACTTTCGCTACATGCTTGTAGTAGTCCTGAATGGACAGTCTGGGACGTCTAGATTTTATCAAATTCGCATCCAATTGCCGCACATTTCTCGCCCTTAGGCTTCCTTTGCAAGTTAATTGTAGGAGTATCCTAACCTTTGTGGATCAATCTCCATACATGTAGCTTTTACAAGAATCCACGGACGAGGATTTTAAGTTGTCAAGTCAGTTTCTCTTGGTATGTTGGGCCAAAATGCCAATTTGAGATTTCAAATTGTGCCAGGAAGTGAAGAAGCAGGTGGTTGCTGCCACACAGTGGAACCTGATTCCTGAATCATTGCCACACAACGTGACTTTTGTGTAACGGCCCTCTTGAGGTCAAAGTTACGCTCTACATATAAAAAATACCAGCATATCCTCGAGGACAAAGCGAAGAAAGAAAAGTTTAATTGCCCAATCAGGCTTTGGGAGAAGGTGCCCAGGGGGTTGGGTATAAACACGTGATCGAGCTCACTTTTTGGTTTTCCAAGGTCGCCGCTGCCCAAACTTGCTTGGGGGTGTCCAGCCAGCCAACCTCCAGGTTCCCCTCTTCTAGCAAGACTTCATCCCATCCTGGAAGCTGAACCTCAATCCGATAATCATCATCCACATTGGGACCAAAGCCTGGAATCCAGAGCAAAGATAATCAGGAACAGCCGCTGTCAGTCGTGACACCAGTGCAAGTTTTCTATACTCTAGCTGCCGTTGCATCGTTTCCACCGGCTATTGTAGAACTCAGCCCAGTTTGACGAGACCAGACTCTCAGACAAGATTTCTTGGGCTGCGGGATTACGTCGTGAGGGACAAAATCCCCTTCAGCTGGCCCCGTCGGCCCCCATCTGGCTCCACTCTCTCAGAACACCTGCACCACCGCAATCCACTATCACAGGCTTCCTCTGACTTCCTCTGACTTCCTCCACCGGATATATCTGAAAGAGACGAATCAGCAGCAGCGGAATTGGTACATGTGGAGATTGGTGAGACCGAGTCCAGAAAGGCCTGAAAGTTGGCCCAGAAGAGTTGGGCTCAACCAGTCATAACGGTTCATGTCCGTGTGCCGCAGACGGTTTCACCCCGCTGAGTCAGATTTCGAGCCTGTGACAGCGCACCATCTCACAGACTCACAACCCAACCCTTCCATTCCAAGAAGCTAACTCGACGAACCCACGTCATCCCACCAAGGCAGGCAGACCGGCAGACCTAGCCTTATGCCAGACGACGCCAGTGCGATATCAGACGTCGCTTCGCAAACTCTGCTACGAGTCTGCTGAGAAGAGTGTCAATTGTTCCGTCGTGCCAGAAGTGCTTTCTGTGTTCGTCTGAAGCCCACAGGAGTCCAAATCGCTTATCCATCAACCTGACGTGATTGCCGTCTTCTCAGCCAAACCAACAACATCAAATCCACCCCATCGTCGCCATCCGCAGCAATGTCTCGCCGTGCGGATACCGTTTACGAAGAGCGGGATTACTATCGAGATGCACCACCGCCAGTCCGAACCCAGGTTCGCGAACGGAACTTTGAAGAAACGGACGTCTACTCAAGGAGGGGTCCTGAGTCTGCTCGAGGCAGCCGTCCGGATTTCTTGCGAGATGACTATGGCAGAACAGACCACGGCCAGATGGTGGTGAGAGAGCGAGATACAGAGATTACTAGACCTGCCGAGCGAACGATGGACCGAACTCTGGAGGTAAGACGGGCACGTTCTCCAAGTCCCGTTCGAATCCGCGAAGAGAGAAGGGAAAGAATCATTCGCAGATCTCCTTCCCCTCCACCTGCTGAAACAACTTTCCGATCCCGGGTCGTTGAACGGGAGAGAGCAAGATCTTTGACACCACCCAAACCACATCTCCGCGCGAGAGTGACAGAAACAAGAGAAAGGATACGGGAAAGATCACCAAGCCCAATCAGATTTCGAGAACGGGTGATTGAGCGTGAGCGCGAGCGTACACCTTCTCCAGTCCGATTCCGTGAGCGCATCATAGAACGACAACGGGAGCGTACTCCAAGTCCTCCTCGAATCGATACCGTCCGGATTCGAAACATTGAACGAGAGACCAAAAAAGTGCCTACTCCGGCACCTTCTCCATCGCCATCTCCTCCACCAGCCATCCGAGCTCCTCCCATTCATCAGGAAATCATCACTCACCATAGACATATCGACCATGGTAAGTTTCTTTCACCTTTTCTGATATTGAAAATCTGCTGACAATATAAGGCTTCGAAAGAGCTAGGGTCCCTACCCCGCCCCCTCCTCCACGTCGTACAAAGGAAATTAAAGAGACCGATATTGATATTCATACCTCACGCGGCAACACTGAGATTGATATCAAGACATCACGTTCCAAGACTCCACAACCTACATCCAACTCTTTGGCTCGCCGCCATGACTTTTACGATGACTCAGTTCTTTATGATGAGGAGCGGGATAAGCTTCGAGTACGTGACACAAAGATAGATCTTAGCAGGCGTCGCAGTTTAAGTGCACGACCTGGGAGAGACTTCAAGGTCGACATTCGAGAGACGAGGGAGAGCTATGGGAGAGACCGTGATAACTTTGGAAGAGAGAGTGTCGTGAGTCTTCGAGGAGACGATGACGAGGCGGAATACTACCGTCGCAAAGCCGACGAAAGAGCCTACATTGGCGAAGCGTTCAATGGGGCTACGAAAGACTGGTCGATTGTGGATGTGCCCCCTGGAACAGAACGAGTTCAAATGGACGGCGTTGGCGGAGGGAGTCAAGAGATCACTTGGCAACGATACAATGGTGTTCGTCGAAGCAAGTTCATTCCCGAGCGTGAGCGTATCCCAGAACGATTCCCTGAGCGTGAAAGGGAGAGGATTGAGATTCGAGAACGGGAAGAGCCAAGGCATGAAAGCAGCGGACTTGAAATCGAAATCTCCAGCTCAAGCCGTCGGCAACCTAGCGGTACATACGAACGAGAATACGAGAGAATTGAAGAAACGAGTAGTGATCGCCGAGTTGGTATGCCTCGACCTTCACCAAAGAACCGTGACCTGTGGACCGAAATCACCAAGGACTTGGTTGTGGAAGAAGCCATTAGGAAGCTTGGCTACAGTTTTGAGGAGACAGAGTATTTCTATTATATCATAGAATATCTGCGATATGTAAGTCTTCTTTCGCCTTCAAAGCCAGAACATGAATGTATGCTAATTTGATTTAGGAGGATGTTCTTGAACTGGTAGAAGTCTCCGAGCAAATCCGTCGAGATCGTCAACATCGCATCCGAGAGATTGAGCGCGAGCGAGAACGATTCGAAAGACGAGCCCGCGAACGAGAGGAATGGGAGCGAGCAGAAAGACGACGTGATCGTGATAGCGGATATGATGACGAGCGTATCATTGAGCGAGAAATCGTTTACGAGGGTGACCGCAGAGGACCGCCACGACGACGAGGGGGTGGTTGGTAAAGAATACCCACACGATTTGAGAAAGCATCAAAAGTTTGTTGTTGATTGGATGATTCTAACGAAGGTTACGAATTTTACATTGCACTTCTTTGCATACCTACATAGCGATGTTGTTGCTTCACTCCTATAACATCGACAGCCAGCCAGAAACCAGACAGCCAGACTGATATCCGTTCAGGTTATGTTTTGTTGGGATACCATGAGCAAGGATGCTCTAATTTTTCCTATTTTTCTTTTTCTATTCTACCTTTTTCTTCTTCTCTATGTTCATGTGGCTATGATTGCGGAGCGGGCGCTGGGACAATCTTCCTTTTTCTTTTTCGGGGTCTATGTGAGGGAGGAAGGTTGAGTGGGGAGGATGATTGCGGGAGGGTTTATAGATGTTGATGATGGATACAATTTCATGGGGGGACTTTTAGTTTTCATCTTCTTTTTCTTTGGTTTCCTTTTTTATGATATGAATTGATGATCTCGTAATGCTCTTTTCTCCGAACTCGCAAAAAATATTTGTTTGTGCCATGCATGTAAGAGGTAAGTAAGTGATGTATCTGTCACTCTCTGGAAAGCCTATTCCTATGATATCTGCAGAGGCGGAGGGACCAAGTATTGCCCGTGACGTCCCACAATACATAGACATCGATCTACTCGTAATTTCAGGTCATCAACTGTATCCTGGAAGTGTTTACTACATAGGTAGCAATGTAGGGGGTACAGTACCAGAAAGCTCGAGTAGATAACTGTCATGGCTATGTACTGTAACAGAATTTCTCGGTTCCGTATGCTGACTTACTGGGGTATTCTGGAGATGTTGGTGTAGTTTTTGATGAAATGATCTTATTCATTTTACATCAATGTCCTTGATTCCCTGGGTATATTTGGATAAGTATTTGGATTACACTACTTGAGGAAGGGAATGGGAGGACCGTGGTATTTGTGAGGTGAAATATAAAGCTAATGAATGTACCATGTGATTTTATATCCTCGCCTCGCTTAGCACTTACTCAACTAATTACCTTTGCAACCTTCATCACAACGCTCAACAACCTCACCCCACAAACCCAGGACTCGGCGGCAACTCCCCAACATCCCATCCCACCCTCTCCGCTCCCATCTCAAACTCCAACACCCCACCCCTCCCCTCCACACCCATCAAATCCCTATGACTAACCCAACTCCTCTCCCACACTTTTCCATTAACCCTCAAACTCTGTACATACCCCCCTTCTCCAGCCCTCTCGCCGTGATCCTCAGAACACCTCCCTCATCCCCGAGTCGTATCGCGATCTCCGCGAAGCGCGGGGCGAGAACGAGATACACAGCCTGCGTCACAACGGGATACAAGCCCAGCATATTCCACACCAGTCAACTACTCACCGCCCCCGCATCGTCGTTCCCTGGGATCCCGCCGGGGTTCACACCATACCACGCATCGACGACCTCTCGACTTCGTTGTACGCTCTTGTACTGCTTCCCGCTGAGATAATTATACAAAAACGGCGTCATGAAACTCGGTCATTCCCAGGATTGAAGATCGTTGTCCCAGCGCGGTTATTACCCTCGTTACTTCGCGCCAGGCCCGGAGTGAAGAGGGCATCGAGCCGCGCCTCGAAGCGCTCGGGACCGGACATGAGGCCGATGAGCGTGTGCATGTCGAAGGGGATGGAGAAGCTGTATTCCCAAGGTACGCCTTCGTAGGAGATGGAGGACCAGTCGCAGGCGCCGCAGCTGAGGGGGTCGTAGGGGGGGTGTGTGCCGTTGGGGTAGGTGGGGGCGAGGAAGCCGGTGAAGTTTAGGGAGGTGGTGGATAGGGACCAGGATTTTTGCCAACCTCTGATGGAGGATGGGATTTGTTAGTTTGTGGAAAAGCCTGAGTGAGAGATTGGATGATGAATGGAGGAGAGGAGGTCAGTACGTGGATCGATTCATATATAACCCCCACATCCCCCGGTGCCTCCCCCATCGCGACCTGCGCCAAGGAAAAATCGTTAAGCGAGTACTCAACCGTTTTACTGATACAACGTCCATACGCGGGTGTCACGAATCCATATTTCTTCCAATCAGGCAACGCGCCACGTCCTTCCTTCGTGCTTCCGGTGAGATCTTCGAAATCGAAGTTATTATATGGGAGGACCTCCGCGTTAGTTTTCATCGCCAGATACCCGTCTGTCCAATTGATACCCCCTTGGAGTCCTTTCACATAGGCGTCAGCCAGGATGTTGTCTGCGTTTGAACCCCCTTGCACCCGCCCGTTGGAGTTTCGACTCCGACCGTCGGGCATGAAGCGCTCGTGGCGCCAGATGTCTATGAGGGATTTGACGATTTCGATTTGTCTTTTTGGGAGGATGAGGGTTATTAGTGCGTGGGTACAGCGGAATGTGTCCTGTACAGTACATAGATATTAATAAAACACATGTTTTCGCTTAGACAGTGAAATTTCAGAGCTCGGCTCACCCAAAGCGTATAGAAATCATCATAATAAGGCTCCCCCGAATCCCAATAAGGGTTCTCACCCGTCCGATCCGAGGGCATAAGATGAGAGTGATATAACCCCGTATAAAACATTTCCAACTACGTCTCATTGGTACTCGTGGCATCGATCTTCGACAAAACCTGCTCATTCCATTCGTTCTTTACAGCCTTCATCATCGCATTGAGATCCCACGTCGGAATTTCATCTAGGAACTGACATGCCTTTTCTGTTGATATCCACGAGATACCAACTTTCGAAGTCACCGTCGAGATATTGGGTGAGAACTCAAAAAGAGCGCCAATTTGGTGGGCATACTGGTAGTTCAGCGCACCGCCTTGAATAGAGGATGCGTTTGTGAAGGTAGGGACGACTCCGGTGGTATTTGGCCGGAAGGGATCGGTGTATTTACCCCAGAAGAGCTGAGATTGTATTGGGACACTATCGAAATGGCCGCAGAAGTACACGCGGTAGTCGCCACCTACAACACTTCAATATCATCTTCCAGAAGAGGAAACGGTAGATTTACGAACCTGTTGCCCAACCTTCACGATACACCGCATACCCAGAATACCAAGACCCATCACCACTCCTCTCCAGAAACCCATTCGAATACCTTTACCCGTTAGCCACCCCCTCCCCTTAAACACAAAACCATTAAAACCATACCATTGCTCCTTCTTCCCAGCCGACGGCAAAAAATGACTAACATCCACCAAAACATACCGTCCCCTGCCCTCCGGATACCTATACCTCATCATCCCCACATGCATACCAGCGCTCATCTCCGCCGTGACCCCATTCCCTAAGTGCGTCCTGAAATACCCCACGCTCGCTACATCCTCAACAGTTCTCGGCTGCATATACGTAAGATTATCGAGCAGATTCACACCGGTCAAATTAGTGAGAGGCATCTGCGGGATTTGTCCGTATGTTGAGGCGCCTCCCGTGCCGGAAATGTTGTGGAGGGTGATGGCGGTTACGTTGCTGTGGGTGATGGGGAGGTAGCCTGCGTTTGCGGCGTAGGAGGTGTTGTATCTGGTTTGATTGGTGTTTCAGCAAGTTTTCATCTATGAATGAATGGATGGATGGATGAGAGAGAAAAGGACCTTGTAGTATCGATTCCAACTTTAACAGCGCCGAACGGGAGAGTAGCGCCAGGGAAGAAATTCCCCCCTCGAAAGGCGGACCCTGGGACATCGCCTTCAGTGCCGATGAAGAGGTTGACATATTTTGTAAAATCCGTGGTGTTACTCGCGGTCGTGGATCCGATTAGTATCAAGAAATAGACAAAGAGAAACATGGTTATTACGAACGAAGAATCGAAGATGGTCAAAAAAGTCTACGAGAAGCGGGAAACACGACGAGGTATATATCCATATATCAGGAAGATAATAAGAGGTTTGTTCTCCGTTATAAGGGTCCTCTGGGCTCGCCACGTAACATCGAGAACTAATAAAGACTAGTGAGATATTTTCATGAGGGGATTTGAGGAACCGATGAGCGAAGATGGACTCAATCAACCTCTACTGTACAGTACAGGGGAAGGACTCTTCGGGGACGGAATAAACGTCGGAATTTCGTCCCCTGAAAAAGAGCTTTCTTTGGGCAACCACGTAGCGCTATATAACAGCGAGGTAAGAAAAACATTTGAGAACTAGTGAAACTATAGTTTACTCAATTCCGAGTCAGCTAATGCTTTTTATATGTTCTTATAATTTAAGTGGCATTTATAATGTGTTTTTAAGTAAAGGGTATACAGGGTGCAAATTCCGACGTTTTTTCCGTCCCCGAAGAGGAAGGAGTTTTCGCTACCTTGTATTGTTGGGTGAGGGGTACAGTACCCCACGTTTACTGTACCCCACAAACTCACCCCATGAACCCCAATATTGTAACAAAATCCCGAGGTCGAGATTGTTCCCCGCTAGAATAGAGAGGTACTGTATCAATCTACATATAACGAGGAGAATGCCTTGGGGAAAAAACCACTGAGACGATATTCAGGGCTTGGGAGATAAGAGTAACTTCATAGAATCATAGCATCATACATCAATAGATCTGGACAAGAAACCCCCTTCCACATTGTCAGAGCTATATCGGCGCTGTATGCTCCAACAGAATTCAGAAATTAGCAGTAAACAAGGAAATAACCAATGAAACTGTTCCATAACTCACATCAGCGACACCTTCAAACCTTTAAACCTTTAACGAAAGCCAGAAACCCCTCGGAAGTGATGCAGGTGTAACTAAGTCGGCTCTTCAAGCGAGTAGGACGGTTGGTGGTTTTACAACAAATCTCTATTTTAATGTCTACGAGTACCTATACATCATTACTACATACTCAAAGTCAACCTCTATTAAGACTCCTTCAAGCCCCACGAAGATCCGATATACACTCAGGAAAGCAGTTCTACAAAATCATTCCAAGGATAGCAGACAGAGATTTAGTAATGAAGAAAAGGGTGTAGATGAGTATACGATGTGGTTCTCCTACATGCTGGAAATGCTTGAAATGCTGGATATGATGATTTTGCTTTTGCTTTTACTTTTAGAAAGAAAGAAAGTGTTCTTTTGGGAAGTATTGTACCGTACATCTTATCTAGTGTTATTAAGCTTTTTTTGTTTATGGAGAGGGGTTTGGAAGTACATCTTTCGTGGCGTAATGTAGCGTACTAGCTAGTATAGTATAATCACCTGTGTAGCTATGATCATACAAGAGATGAGAAACAAGTCCTGATTCAATATCCATAGATAAGGGAGTAACTGATACAGAAAGTCAATTACGGGAAGAAATTTATATATGAGTAATCATATTTGCAAATTTGAATCTATTAAGTAAAATCACACCGCCATAAAAGAAATCCTGCCAACAGCAAAAAAGCCCAGTAATTAAATTGGTATCATGGTATCATCAACATCCCAATCAAAAAAACAGTCAATCAAAAAAGTGGTATAAAACATCGTATGTCCCGCACCCTTCCAAACACCCATCCTTCCCATCCCCTCCCACCAAATCAAACCGTCGCACGACCAGTCCACTTCGTTCTCATCCCCCTAAACTTAAACCAATACGCCGCCATACCCAGCGCCGAGATAAACCACAAACACGCATTCGCAAGATCAACCCAGACCGCATTCTTCATCCGCCGAATCCCTTTATTACCCTCGGGGTTCTCTTTGATGTACATCTTCCCGAACAGCCCGAAGAGCGCGATCCAGAGGATGAAGAGGATGCTGTCCCATGCGAAGATGAAGGGGATGCGGTGGAAGCGGGGGATGGCGTAGAATAGTGCTGTGGCTGCTGAGAGGGAGGAGACGACGATGGCGTAGACCTGGGGGGGTTCGTTAATTGGGGATACTGGGGAGAGGGGAGGGGAGACTTACCCATTTTGCGTCGGAGTATTTTCCTACGCTGTTGGCTTTGTGGAGGTCGATGCCGTAGAGTCCGATTACTGTGAGGCCTAGGACTAGCTGGAGGAGTCGGTAGGAGGTGTGTGCATAGTAGATTGGGGGGAACTGGAAACTTGGTATGAAGCCCATGGTTGTGGTGGTGTGGATGTGTTATGTACTGTACGTGTGGATTGTTGTATGTAGTGTGGATTGCTGTTCGCAATATTCGCTTCGCTGTAATTTCGTGATGAAAAGTTGGTTGTGTTGTGTTTTGTTTTATTGTGTTGTATTTGGTTTGTGGAGAAGAACTGAAAGTTGTCGAAAATATCCTCTCGGCGACCCTTTGTCGGTCGAGGACAATAGCTTCGAGTACAATCGGTGATTGGCGGTCAAAGAGAGGTTATTCACAGCAGCGGTGTCGAAGGATCATGAATGAGAGGAGTCAGGAAAGAACAAGGGACACAAAAAAAACCAGACAAGGAAAGACAAGAAAAGCTTACCTTACCCTGATAAAGACCCCTGACTGGTGTTCTTTATCACCTCGTCATATGGGGACACAAACTGCTGGCTGCTGGCAATCTTTATTTCTTCTTCCCTCGTTGAAGCTTGAATATTGGCCATGCCATCCATCCCCAGCTGATTGATTGGACATCGGACGAAGTTGCCTTGCCAAGCTTGGGCGCGATGTCACATTGCAGTATCTTTTGGGTTTTTTACCGAATGCGTGATGACGTAAAAGGACAGGGGTCGGAGATTTTTCCAGATTTTTCCGAGAACCGCCGGGGTGACAACTCCATCATCAAAGTTCAACCTTCGCTGTCCCCGCTGAACAAGCTCGCGATCAAGACGACATCCATATGCAGTGTGCAGCCTCGATCTCTGGGCACAAGTGCAGGGCAAAATACAAGATCGCGGGGCCATTGTAGTAACCATACCACCAGGTAGGTATCAATGGGATGGCACATTACCAGGTATCTCGGAAGACCTGTACTCCACAGGGCACATGCCACATGTTCGTCAAAGCTATTGTTCCACGGAAGAGCTGGGCGTGTAGTCTGGTACAATGAAACTCGTGGTGGGGAGTCTTCAAAGACCCCAACGGTTGTCAGTTGGCTGAAAGTATCTGAAAGAGTTGGAATTCAAACATTGCTGGACGAGAGAAATGCTTACTGGGAAAAAGATCGGGAACACAGATCGCATGGTATTCGTACACAGGTAATGCAATGCTTCTGACTTCTGGTGTATCCTTGCTTTTGAAGTAGTGTTTACCTTTCCATTTCGTGGTTGGCTTGGCGGAATCAAAACTGTAAATTTACAACAGACATTGGCTACTTAACAAGGATTAACATGCCAGCTTTAAACTTCCTACTAACCAGCCAGCTCAGCGTATTATCCGCCCTTAGCTTACCGTTCCTCGATAAAATGTCTCGGGTAACTCGCTGCTATTAACTCGAACTTGACTAACAGCTCACTTAAAGCTTTACGAATCCTTACTACTCGAGTAGAAAAGTCTTACTATTGATTTTCACTAATAGTAACAACGATTGTTGGCATGCATATGCGAAAGGAGATCGAAGTAGATGCGGTAACTCCGTCGAATTCAAGTTCAAATGCCTGAAAAGATTACCTAGGTAGCTAAATGACTTTGTCTTTGTTATAAAAGTGGATGCTTTTACTCTACTTTGAGTACACGTTTTTGGTATCTCGATACTCTAGAAGGGATAAAACATATATGTGGTTTAGTAAAGTTACAGGTTTGTGATTAAAAGATTATCACTCTGTGCCCTACCCGCATATGTTCGCTCTGTAAACCACCCAATTACAACAAGGGCCTAACTGCTCCTAATACCTACCAACAACGAAAACCCATCCATCTCTTACCCCCTCACCATATCAAGCGACATAAACCACTACTTCGAGCACACGAACCCCAGATTTCTACCGCCGGCTTTCGGTGGGTACCTTCCCGGGCACACGGCTCTGCATTTGGTATCTAGAAGCTGTCGCGTAGATTCTGGGCGTATACGGATGCGAGGAGGAGGGAGAGGATATTGAGTGTGAGATTAAGATTGAGATGTGCGGTGTTGATATTGCTGTTTCGTGGGTTTGAATGTAGATTTTTGAGATGATGGGTTTTGTAGATGTGATATAGTACTTTGATGAGAATGAAAAAAGTTGATTATTTATCTGAAGTATCGTTAAAAACCAAGATCTCCAGCTATACTTATAGACAACCATCAGACCCCAATACGCCGCTAACAACCATGGGTATCTATCTAATTCCAATACAGATACTAGCATAAACTCACATATAACGCTCACTCTAATGCGATACAAAACAAATGATATAACACATGCACGAGAAACAGAAACCGCCACCAGGTGGACATAAGAACTTGCAGTTTTTAGGTCGATGTACTATTACCGCTGGGAAAAAAGGATAGAAAAAAGCTACAGATAACTTTGTGCACCTGGTGCCCGTGTATAAGGAGACTCGGTGCAGAATCGGGTCTAAACTCGGCAAGTAACGAGGAGAACGTGGTGAGGTGAGTCATGTGATAGACTTGTGTAACACTCATATGTACCTACTCCGTACTGAGTAACGAAAACGATAGAAATGGTTACTATACTTGGTTAGTACACAGTAATATAAACAAACTCGACGGGTATATCTTAGCTCTGAAGTATATTTATTACTAAATTTCTTTGTACTTTGTCTTACTAAAGAAGTAGTATTAATATATTATAGAATAAGCGAGTTAGCAATACGTATTCGTTAATATAGTACAGAACTTCAGTTTATAGAGTACACTGGGAGTATACGCTCCGAGTCGAATAGACCGTCATTGTATATATAGTTACCTTTAACCTCGTGCCACTTAGCGTAGTTACAAGAGACTTACAATCTACAATTACTACCTATCTTGCTACAACACACAAACCCAAGCACCCTCAAGCAACCTTAAGCAACCTCAGAGGCCCTCACTTATACAACAATACGTCTCTCTATAATGCAAGTCCTCCTTGCCGCTCTTGCGCTCTTTAGCGCGGCAGAAGCGGCGGGGTGTACGAAGGCTAGCGACTGTAAGCAATGCGCTAGTGAGAGCCCGGTTTACTGGTAAGTGCTTGTTTATGAATCGCTTTCTACTGATACTAATGATTGTTGTAGTCCTGGTGGTATTTACTAATGTAAAGGAGATACGCACTAGAGGGATACGGCGTAGTAGATATCTTAGGAAGTAGATAATAGCAGGAGATAGATATACGTGGAGTACTCGGACTCTAAATGTGTAAATCTAACTATACATTTCACGTCCGTCCATTCTACTATTACCCTTTCTTTAAATCCCGAAACATTAATACCTAGTAGAAAGACGAAATAAATCCGAATGTTCTCTTTGGCATTTTCTTATAAAGGTAGAACTTCTTAGGCGCTATCTTGGACTTTTCGTAAAGTAGTCTATAGCTCTAACTGAGTTTTTCACAGGACAAAAATACAAGTATAGAGTGTGATTCTTAGCTATATATCCTTTTTAGCTAGTTTGCACGGAAGGTTAACTTGAAAGTTGCATAAGAACTTGGCGAGTTGATCGGAGTAGCGATAATCCCTACACGAGTTTTGTTGAGTAGGTACGACTGTACTAGTTAACCCAACTACTTCGTCTCAAGTATAACAAACATAAGACCAAACAGTGGTAACATTTACATAGAGCTTTTAGGGGAGTAAATGGTACTTCGTCAGACGTATTAATTGTAACTTTCTTAGGGTAGTTTTAGTAGAGAACATGGTAAATACCCCCGTAAAAGTTATAAATATTGTGCCTACCACAAAGTAAAAGCCCGCACTGAACTTTCACTACTTCATCATACCTGGAATAAATTCGGTAAATACCGGACGCAATCCTGGCTAATGCTTACTTTCTCTTCTTGCTAATGGTATATAAAGTCTGTCACCTTTCCCTCCGCGCCATCCGGTGTAGGTCAAACAGACTCATCAATCCACTACCTCTCCTCCTACAACACACACCCAAATAACCACCGCAACAAACCTACCTCAACAACTCACTTCTACCACAATGCGTCTCTCCATAATTCAAGTTCTCCTTGCCGCCCTTTTCCGTTACCAATGTTTTATACTTATCTTTAATATATTTTCGGATATACTTACAAATTGGACTGAAGATAAGAGAAGATATATTATAAACCCAAATATTCTAATAAGTATAGAGTGACGTTTGACCCCAATCCATCCGGTCATCTACGCTTACCCCGTGCATTCAGAAGAGACTTAACAAGTATATACCTACGCAATCATAAAAATCTTCCTTATACTACTCAAATACCATGCATCTCCCCATCATCCAAGTTTCCCTTACCGCTCTTACGCTTTTAAGCGCCTAGAGGCAAAGAAATGCACGACTGCAAGCGACTATACACAAAACTGTGGTACTTCCGGTGCAGTTTACACGTAAGAGCTTCTTTATTACATCCGCCGTAAGAATAGTAATACTAATGGCTATTGTAGAAGTACTGGTACTTGTGTATGCCAGATTCATTAAGATAACAGGGTGATATGGATATGCATGTAGTGACCCTCAACTTGCTTCTGAGTGAGGAAGGATAAGGCGGATGATGAGAAAAGAGATGGATGCTGAATTGGAGATGGTGTGTACTCTGATCTTGATGGGATGAAGAGACCTCGTTTTGGGCAGCAAGCGAATGAAAGGGAGATATGTGTTGTACACGCCCCAATTTTGTGACGAAGATCTTCCAACTTGGGCATGAAGAGAGGCAAGAGAGGGATTCTGGAACTTTTTGTGGACCCAAATCCCCCCTTGTGCTACCGATAATGAGTCTTTTGTATCTGAGTGTTTTTCGAGGCTTCCGGCGGCTGGTTGCTCGAGATTCGCTAACTGACAGACTAAGTCTGACCCAAGCCTGATGGGGGGCCAGAATTAGGATAGCAGGGTACTTTGTAGTCTAATACGAATTAGAGTGTGTCCTTCGGGGTTGGGTAGCAAGGTGGAGCGAAAGATATCACAGTATACCCAATACATGTTCTGTATCCCCCATATAAACTCGCTCTTATTAACAAATATCGTTTTAAGAATTGAAATTTTCCGTTTATAGAAAACAAGGCTTCCCTTACGCAAGGCAAGGTAAAAAAAAGAGACTCTCGTACTGGATTTCTAAATGCTAAAGTAAGTGCTTGTTTAGAATACCGGTTTTACCCACTACCCCCTACACTAAGTAGCATTACACCAGGGCCTCCCTATACATCCTCACCAAATATAGTGACTTACCTAAATTCTGATCAATTTTACACCCTACTCGTATCACCACTCCTCCAGGTACTCAAAATCCCTAAAACCCGTAGAATCCCTCTACAGAATATCTACATAGCGATCTTCCTACCTAGCGACCCATCAAAACTCAATCTCCAAGTATCTTGAAAGATGATCTCCAACTTCTACGACCTCCAGCGCGCATCCTACAGTAGACACATCCACCACCCGATCCACCCATTCTCAAGAACGATTTACCACGGTAGCGTAACTGAAGGTAGGTATACCACGCCACCTTAGACACGAAGCACCGAGGATCCTCCTCAATTTCCACAGTACGTAAAGAGGAAAGTGATAGCTACCCCATCTACACAAAGATCATAGACCCCCTTGTTTTCTAGAAGGTCTATGAAGATCAACAATACACAACTGCCAAATCCAGCTTAGAATCGAGAGTAATGATATTCCAACAATGCGACAATGCCAAATGCGGCAAACATAAAACCCCATCCCCATCTTTTTCTTTTTCTGAAGATAGTGAGTGGGGATACAGCGGGACGACCCGTAGTTCGATCGATCTGATTCTGATATTACTTCTACCAAAATAAGGCGAACGACAATATCAGTACTGGGTGCGAATCAAGGCACAATACAGTAAGGGCCGAGAAACTCAACCCATCCTAACGTTAACTCAACGACCTTGTAAAGAAAATCTATTACTCGGTACAGCATGAGCAACCAGCCCAGCCCCCATACCCCGCATTCCCTCCCACATCTCATATCTTTCCAGAAATTCAGATGAAAGAAAAATCTTTTCCTCCTCCCCATCCATACAAGGTGACGAAATACTCGTAGGAGCTTGGAAATGAAGGGTTGGCTCGTCCGATTGGCAATAATGGCATGCGGCGCAAGAATGGGGCTAGTACAGTAAGTACTATACGAATACGGTAGAGTACGGTAAATATTCCTACAGTACCTAGATTTGAGTTTTTGGGGGAAATTCAAGGACATTTTTTTGGTATTTTTGTGTTTTTTTGTTTTTTTATCCTAACCTATATTTTCAATCGGTAAGTTGATATTTTTTTCCCTGGCGGTTTTACCGCGGAGTGGATCATGAATTCCCATGGGGTGTTGTTTGAGAAGTTTTTCGTGGAGATGTGGAGGTGGTATATTTATGGGTTGGGTTTTTAGGTTAGGTTAGGTTGGGTTGGGTTGGAAGTGTACTATACTGTACTGTACTTGGAGATAGGAAATCTCCGACCCTCCCCTCTCTCCACAACTGGATTTTCGGATCAAAGGACCCTGATTTCTCAAATGTTTTGGGGGTCTCTAATTGGAAAGGATAATCTGAAAAAGGATGAAGAGGGGAGGGGGTATGTGAACGGGGTTGGAAATGGGGAATTGAGATGAGGTGATTGGTGGATCGGGTCATTGGCCGAGGTAGGGTAGGGCTCGGAAGATAGGCAAGGGCAAGAAAGAAAAGGATCTTCAATCAAGATTTCCGCTTATGCGCCGCAGCCTGGTGGAATTTGGGGGGTTGGGTGGGGTGGGGTACCGTAATTGGATTGCTGCATGGGTGCTGAAGGAGAGAGTTTGAAGTGCTTGAATGTGCTTGAAGATGCAACGGCGGATGGATGGTTCCGCAGCCGAACTTCGTTGAGTCGTGTTAGAGTACTCGTACAGTACTCGTTCTTTGGAAATGTAGTTTTGGAAATTATGCTGCTTTTCTTGCACTTCCTTTACGTTTTTAGGATTTGATTGCAGGAGCGAGGAATAGAGGTGTTGTGATGAAGTGTTGTGATGATCGTCGGTGCGCCTACTTTGAAACGCCGGACCAAGACTAACTGCTATAGATGTCATAGTAGATCTAATTTCTCAGCACAATCAACAAGTAGGAACTTTGATCTTCTAAGACAACCAAATGTCCTAAATTTTCGGAATGTACGAGTAGTAAAATTGCATGAATTTAAATTGCTCTAAAATTGTAAAGAGAGGGTTGAGTACGGCCGCTTTTAGAGACAGTGGAATACAAAAGCAGATCGACAGTAGATCATCCTACGTACTCTCTCGCCACAACGTGTTTGCAGGGATTTGATAAACCAAAAATGATAACAGAAGTACCAGAAAATCTTCCGATGTCTGTTGTATACTGTACAAGTAGGTACGAGTGGTTTGTACTGATTCGACAAAGTATCACGGAAACCTAGATAGGCAAGCCACCATTTGTAACATTGGGCTGTAAATAGTACAGCAAACTCTGGGCGTTTTCTCCCAGCACCGAGCGGGTCTCTTGGATGTGGTCATTGATGCTTGTGGTAAGAACCATCAGTCGTCGCAGCTTGGCTTATCTGCGAGTCTGATGCAGTAGTGGCTTCGCAGACCAAAGAGAGACGGATGTTTCATGGCGGATTTGAGGTACACGCTACCGTAATTGTCTTGGATATAGCGGGATCGGGGCCCTTGCTTGGGATGTGGTGAAATCAGATATTAGTATAAGCGCTGTGTGAGTATAAATAATAATGAGGCGGCGTACAGAGCGAAGGGAATAAATAAATGCTTGGGACTTTTGACGATACCTTCATCCTTCCACCTCTCACTTCTCCTGACAAGCATCAGAGCGACGTGATTCTTATGCTTCTATGCTTCTATGCTCCTCCGCTCCTACGCACCTGCATACCGTGACATACGGATACGAGAATTCAAAGACATTTATCACTCTCTGATCTGCTCTCGTGCCGAGTTGACCTCGACGGGCGAGAGGAGAGAATTTTTCCCCTGAAGTAAGGAGTATATCGCAGCGCAATCGCAGTTTCCGAGCCTCTCGACTTTGTCAACGTCAAACAAACGTCATCGTTTGGACTAAACCTTCAAGTTTCGCAATCACGCGAATCCAACGACACCACCGAACTCGAGTACTCGTAATTGTTAATGCTTGGGCCGGACCAAAAACGACTCTACCAATGTAATTCCGGAAACCTCACCCAACCTCTACTCGGTACACCACCATCCAAAGCAAAGGCCAAAGGACAGACAGAAACACGAAAACAGACGCAAATACCGACACGGAACATCAACACGGAACAGCAGTCCAAACGTCACCCCTCAACTCATCTTTCCTCCATTTCGGGCGTCTTCTGTCTCTGCCGCATTCAGCAAAACTCAATCATCGGCCTCTGCAGATAGTGGTACCTGGATTGTCATCATCATCAACCTCATCCTCTACCGCATTCTGGAAGGATCTGTGGTAGGAAGGTCATCGGTACGTCGGCACCGTCAACGGCCAGCCAACCTAATCCAACGTCCAGTACGAGTACGGACTCTGCACCTACGATATCTGCCCTTCAAGGGATTGGTATCTTCCAGCCACCCAGCATTGGATAGGCCGTACTGTACAGTTACATACCGCACTTCGGCCCCTCTACATCCTCCTCCGTCAGCCACAAACATTCGATCCGATCTGCTGGGCCAACCGCAAGCCACAGGCGTTCCCATTTCCATTTCCATTTCCACGCGCGCTCTTCGAAGACACCTCGAAGACACTTCGAAGACGCTTCGAAGTTCATCAACTTGAGACGCCAGAGTTTGGAGCCGAGCCTTCACAAATTTACTTCGTACCAGTACGAGTAATACTTACAGTAGTAGCATCCCAATTCAACATGGCCAGTCGATCCTTCAAGCCTGCGTCATACTTGGCATCCGCCGCACAACCAAAGCCAAGCCGCACCCACCGCCCGTCATTTGTCCGGAACAGCTCGGCCTCCTCCACTTCCTCCAACAAGAGCGACGAGGGCTTCATGGCAACGCTGCGCTCCCTGAATGTCAGAGACGCGAGTCCCGCGGGGGGTGCTGCTCGTCGTGTACACGGTCACAGTCACAGTCACAGTCGACACAACAGTAATGGTGGTGCTGGTGGTGGGGACGAAAGGGTGACGGGTACATCCACAACCGCTTCTGTCCTTGGTAAGTCATCTTCTCCGCCATCAATGGTTCGTTTCCATCCACACGCATGCAGGCCGTTGTGCATGGTGGGGCGAAATGCGATTCAACAGGGTGCAGCTGGTGACGGGAGTGGCTGCCGCTAGGTACCCCGCCGCCGCTAAGTCCTGTTATCACCTAACGACGATACTCAATGGGGGCATCGGGGCATCGTGTGGAGACCGTGAGACTAATGCTGATCGCATCTTATGCTCATTAGGCAATAATGGTGGTACCCTGATTTCGAAGTCAAAAACCGAAGACACCCCCCAAACAGAGAGAACAAAACCCATCGCCATCGAGCTTCCTGCAAGAAATCTACCAACAACATACACACCTTTGACTGGACGAGGAGATTTGAAAGGGTATGTCGATACAATATAACACAACGCCCCCTAGTAATATATACTCTCCTCGATACTAACAGATCACAGAGGATATTTCCCAGGCTTTGAAGAATCACCTCCTCCAAAATACAGACCACACCCCTTCATCACTGGATTATCATCAAAAGTCCCACCATCATCAGAAGAAGTAACTACTCCCGGATCACCTTCCAACATGTCGGCCTGTTCATTCACCTCGTCGCCTGCTACCGACTCGACCCCAAGGGTTCCTACTTCTGGTCTCACTGCACCCACAACAAATGTATATCCTCGCGTCCCGGATCTTGATGCATTCACCATTCCAAAAGGAAAATACTATCCGTCAAACTATATCACACCAATGACTTCCCAATCATCTACTCCTCGAACAAGTTTGACACCTGTGGCAACCAGTCTACAAATTCCCGCCTATAATAACACAAACAACAAGAAGCGTCCCTCGCACGAGAGAAACAACAGCGATGTCAAGAGAAAGCTGCAACAATACCAAAGAGATATGATTGCACAAGCACGAGCAGCATCTCACGCACCTCCAAGCGATATCACATGGACAGTTCCAAGACCAGTCAGCCCTCGACTTGCTCCTTTGGGCAGCCCTGGACCCATCACCCCATTGGAACTTGAGAACAACGACGGATACCTTGCTGCTGGTTCTCGTCACTTGATCGATAACAATGAACGAAACTTGGTTGAAAATTTCATTGGGGTTGAACGTCGTCGGATGAACGCTCGTACTTGAAACATCTTTGGCTAAATATATCGACTCGCTGGACGGGTTATCCTAGAAGGATACATACATACATACATTACAGACATAGAGCAACACGGCTCATTGGATGCAGCGCATGTCGATTGAAAAGCCGAATTCTCCCCTCGAACATCATACACTTTCACTCAAACCCATAAAAAGTTGTTCTTTTCCGCCGGCACCTTGCACATACACGACGAGCGGCAAAATTTGCATAGATGGATTTGGGTGCATGGTCTTCACCAAGTGCTGGTGTTGACTCTTTCTCTTTCTTTTGTTACGTTTATTTTTTTCCCCTTTGAGATAGTTTTCTTTTGTTATCTGGCTAGGCACGGGGCGTATTCGGAATACCTTTTTGCTTTTCCTTCTTTACTTACGTCTATCCTCGATTCTTTTGGGGATGCAAAGACTTTCCATAGGAATAGAATATCGAAGATTGTATGCTTGCTTGCTACAATTCCACTCGTTTTGTTTGTCGTTGGCAGGGTACATAGTCGATGAGATGGCCTGAGATACAGTATGGGAGACATGGATAGTCCATATTCGATAGGTTGGCCATGGAGATGGGGATGGGTTCATCAAATAGCAAGAATGAAAGCGCTCAAATTTACTATACCTCCTACCATTTAACTCATTTATGTGAAATGTGTGCATTTGCCTTCCTCACACGTAAAACTAGGACTATAACCCAGGAGGGGTTTTGCTTTTGCTTTCCGTGTTCTTGTGACCAGATAGAGGGTGCGCAATGCGCTAAGGTAGGGTAGGGTGGTGCGGGTGTCTTGGATGGTGGTGATCATCTGAGGGTTATTTTTGGGGCAGGTACGAGGTGGTGTGAGACATGGTGTGAGGGGTATACGAGTAGTATAGTGTACAACACCAGAACTACTGTAGATAGGTATAGTGTAACGGCTCATGCTGTACTAAGGTTTGGGGGTTGTACTAGGGTTTTGGGATTAGAGGCGTGATTGGAGATTTGTGGGGTATTGATAGAGTGGATGGGTTTGAAGGGTTTTTGGGGGTGGTTTGGGGGTGCTGGTGGAGGGTTTGGGGGGTGAGGAGGGGGATGGGTTAGGGTTTTATGTGTTTTTTTATACTATAGCTTAACCTCCCTCTGTCTCCGCCTCTATATACTAGGAACATCTTACCGTATACTGGTAGTATTTCAGGAAAACGTGTATGGGATGGGGAGTGGGGTAGGTGTTGTAATCTTTTTATTTTTTGGTCTCGTTTTGTGGGGTATTCAGGGCTTTTGAAATAGGGGTTTTTAGGAATGGCATTGTGGTCTGTTGGGTAGGTTTTGGGAGTTTGGGGCTGTGGGATTTTGGGGAGTTTACGTGTAGGGGCTGGGATAGGTTGTGATGGCTAAGCGAGGGGAGGGTGTTGTGGATGTATATATGCATGTATAGTATTTAAGAAAGAGATGTGTTAAGAGAGTTGAGAGGTTGTTGATCAGTATATGCTAGCTAGCTCTGTTGAATGGGTTGAGTAGATAAGTAGGGTATTGATAGTAGTTGTGCGATTGAGTATTGCGCTTGTTGATACACGGGTTTCCTGTCCAGACCAGGAGTAAATTAGAACCAGCGTCCAAATACTCCTCATCCTTTGAAAAGTGCATGGCAATTTCACATCTCCACAAACTCGTTCATGTGTTATCATATCAAGATTCTGTATTCTTGACCAAACAAAGAAGTGTAGTGGTGGTGGTGGTGGTAGCTCACCTCTTCTTATCCCCTCGGCTAAACCTCCCATCACTTCAAAGTCCATCCAGATCCACAATCACATCTCAAAAACACTTTTTCAAAAAAACACTTTTAAACATTCTTATCTCCCCCCCTCCTCCCCTTCCTCAAAGGCCATAACTTGATCAGCCCAAAGATATCGTACCCCTTTTCAATCAAATAACAAATCTGCGTACCAAAAAACAACAACAACAACAACAACTCCTCTCCCCCCACAAATTATTATCATTAAAGCAACCACAAGAAAAAAAACAGCAAACCCCCTCGCTAAACCCACTACATTACATACCATTCACCCCCCCTCCAAACCCACTAACAAACTCCAATTCACCCCCACAAAGAAAATTCAAACCCAAACTTTCTCCCGGACCATCCCCTTCTTCGTGAAACTAACCACCGTAGTCTTCTCCTTCTTCTCTTCCTTTCACTTGTCCTTCTTTTCCTCCTTGTCCTTGTCCTTCTTCTCCTTCTTCGCCATCTTCTCCTTCCGCGCCAGCTGCGTAACACTCGACAGCTCAGGCTTGAAGAGCATGAGGAGGAGCGAGGGGGAGGGGGAGGGTTTCTTGTTCTTCTTGGTGGTGTTGGAGAAGGGCGGGAGCAGGAACTTGGTGGTTTTGTTGCTGCTGCTGCTGCTGTTGCCGGGGGAAGAGGTGGCGGAGGTTTGGGTGGTGGTTGAGAGGTTGGACATTTTTGTGGTGGTGGTGGTGTACAGGTACTTCTTTCTTTTTTTGAGAGAGAGAGAGAGAGTGAGGAGGAGGATAGTGTACACGGGGAACGACAGAGAGGATGTGTGTGTGTGACGGTTATGGTCACGAGGGCTGGATGTCACATGCTCGCTTAGCGAGGCGCTAGCGCGCACGACCTGTATTTAGTTCCCAGCTCTCTTGAGCTCTCCTTCTTTCCTCGTCTTTTGTCCTAAGAATAGAGTGTTAATTGTTCTGAGTTCTACCTGAAGCACGTCTGTCACAGTGTGGATGGTAGTGGTTGGTGGTTCTGTTGGTACAAGTTTTGGTTGATCGGTTGTCGGTTTCTGGAGAATGCGGGGGGTTGAGGGGTTTTTTGGGAAGGAAATTGGACGCGGGTGTGGTGGCGTTTGTCGGTTAGGGTGACTATGCTTTGGTGGGTTGTAGAGGTGGTGAATGGTTAAGGTGAGGTGAGGTGAATTGATGTTGTGGTAGTGAATTGGATTACGTTTTCGCTAAGCGATTTGTTTCTAGTTTACTACTACCTAGGGGTTTGTCTTGTGAAAACTTGCCTTTGTTAGTTGTTTCTAGATGCTAGTGTAGAAATAGAGTATGTTTTAGCAAATGATTACTTTATTTTTATTTATATATCGCTATATTTCTTTATCTTACGTCGCTTACTATTCTACCTATAATTTAGATCCTTTTATTACTAAAAGTCGTATAGTATAATTAGAAAAAAACAGTTCTAGTATCTTTTCTAATTTTTCGTCTCTAATTACTTAAATTGTTACTAATCATTAGAATAATTATCGACTTAGAAAAATAAGTACTTAATTTCTACGAATTTATTCTCGAATATCTTTCGATGATTTTAATTACCTTAAATCTTTCGTATATTTTTATCTTTAGAATTAACTTATATAAATAATCTAAAGAACTAATCTAATATAATATAAAGGTATCTATTTATTTAATTTCTTTACTTAAAAGAATTAGAGAAATTAAACACTTATATAATATTTCTATAAATACTTAAAAATATTAGCTCATCTTTTATTAAAAATCTATATATATTTATTCTAATTATTGTAATTAGTTAGAAAAAGAAATTCTTTTTATACACCCTACGCGAGAACCTATTATAAAAATACCTTTATTTATCTTTATTACTTAAAAAGATTTAAATAATTATATAATTTTATTTATATAAAGTAAATATATATAGGCTTTAGTTTATAATTCCTTTGGAAAATAAGCTATTTATTATTTATTTTTCGAAAAGAATAGTATAATAAAGTACTTTATAATATATTAAATAAATAAAAGAGAATATTTTACTATTTCTCTTTTTAATAGATATTTAGAATAATTATATGGTTTTATTAAAGTTTAGTTAAAGTAAATAGCTTAAGAGTTATATCTTATTTTCTAAAAGTAATATAAAATATATATCAAGCAAATCGCTATCTAGCGAGCTTTTCTTTACTACTTGGACTGTCTTCTTTAAAGAAGTAGAGGCCCAAGACCACGCTATCCCGGATATAACATCTCTTCTCGGAAGAAGAGTCTTCTTCAAGCCCCTTCCCAAGGTTTCTACAGTCGTTCAGTGCTCTAGGTGCTGGGGGTGGCATAACCAAAGGATTTGTGGAAAGAACCAAAGATGTCGTCTTTGTGGTACTACTCAGCACTCCGAAGAATTTCACCCAGAGTGTCAAGGTTTCTACAGTCGTTCAGTGCTCTAGGTGCTGGGGGTGGCATAACCAAAGGATTTGTGGAAAGAACCAAAGATGTCATCTTTGTGGTACTACTCAGCACTCCGAAGAATTTCACCCAGAGTGTCTAAATCACACACAGTGTAGGCTAAAATGCCTACACTGTAGTGGCCCTCACCCCTCAGACGACCCTAAGTGTCCACTTAGACCAGGAACCTCAGGAACACACCCCTCAACTGAGAATAGAAGGAATATCTACCAAGCGTGTAACGAACTACGGATTAGAAGCGAGCTCGACTCCCCTTGTAGTAGTCATGAACAGGTTATTCCAGCTACTCCACAAGGGAGATTAGTCCCTTCTTCTAACCCCCCTCCCTCTCCCTCTCTCTCAACAACCTCTTCAC